TTTAGGGTTCAGGGTTAGGGTTTGAAAGTCTTTGGGCGCCTAAAACATACAGTAGGGGGCGGGAAGAGGGAGTGGACAACGAGCACTCGATCATATCCTCATTCTCCGAGGTTTGCCCACATCTGGATCCCCAACTTATTGTTATTATTTATTTCCTAGGTGGTCTGAGGAAAGTACCTGTTCATGGTTGCGCTTGTAGCAGTTTAAGCTACAGCCAGCGTAAGTCTTCCCAATCTGCCAGGAAACTGCGCAGAGCTGCAGCAAACTCTTCGCTTCCGAGTCGAGTTGCCCAAGGCAGATAGACTCAACAGCCCTAAACCCCTAAACCCTAAACCCGAACTCCACAAGCAGAGAGCACGGGCTTCGTGTTCAAGCTAAGGGCTTTAGATGGGGTTCAACGTGCAATGTTGGGGCAATGTCGGGCCTGTCAGGGCAGGGCTAATGGTCTCGGGGTTTTTGGCGGCTTTAAGGTATGCCTTTATGGTGGTCCTTTTTCCGAGAGACTCCGATGCTTCCAGCTGCGATGGCGCATCCGTGCCTGTCCTTCAGTATTTAGGCGCTGAACAGGTTCCGGATAAAGATTTCATAGTAAAGTAGGGCTTGTTGTTATCATGTATGGTCAAGTATGTTTAGAGAGCTCCCTTTTCGAATAGGGATTCTCTTGAAGTGGTACTAGCATTCATCCAGTCAATCATCAGCAAGGTGAACCCAAGTTGAGATTTAAGCAGCGATGCACGGGCGACAGTCTGAGTAGCAAAAGAGCAGCCAGAGAGCCCACCAAAGCCCAAAATCTAAACCCACAACCCAAACGACCCTAAAGCAAGACTGAAGCCCAAAACCCGAAACCCTAAACCCTAAACCCTAAACCCTAAAACAAGACTGAAGCCCAAAACCCCAAACCCTAAACAAGAAAGGACTGATCCCCAATCGCAAGCCCTGGGTAAGACCAAAAGGCGCGGTCTAAGCAACCCTAGACCCTAAAACCCCCCAAACCCCCTAAACCCTAAATTGGGCTTAGGGTTTAGGGTTTAGGGTTTAGGGTTTAGGGTTAAACCCCAACCCCTAAACCCTAAACCCTGAACTCTGAACTCTAAACTAAACAGAAGGGCACTGGGTCTCACTTGGTGCAGGTGGTTGTGGTGACGATCAACCCGCTGCACCTTGGACAGCTTCAGTAGGCTTCGCGTTTAGGGTTTAGGGTTCAGGGGAGTTTGGGGTTAAGGAGTTTCGGGTTAGCGATTTGGAGCTCTGGGTGTCGGGGATAGGGGGGAGGGGGTTTGGGTTAGGAGTTGGGCTTTTGTTGAGGTTTGGGGCTTGGGCTTTAGGAGTCAGGGTCAGAGATCAGGCTTGGGGCGTCACTTGCAAAAACCCGGTGCATACGTAGATCCTAGCTTGGGCCGTGGCATATTTGGGGCAGGTCGGGGTTAAGGGTTCAGGGTATCTATGTTGTTTGGTGGTGTAGGGTTTAGGGTTTAGGGAATGAACCCACCTGGATACTCCAAATTGCTTCAATGTGGCATGAGGTGAAGGCTTCTAATTATAGGGGTCTTGATAAATGGTAATGGTATTCCTGATAGTTCCGGATAGAGGATAGTAAAAGATGCACCAAAAAACCCTATTCTAGAAACTTATTCTCTAAGCCCGTATGAGACTTTTAACCCTGGCTGATTATGGCTACAGCGAGAGATCTATCGAAGGAAGGGCACTTTGTTTGAGCCTTAAATGCGGACCCTAAGAGCTCAAGGTGTCAGAATAGCTGCATGGCTGACAGGTAAATCATAAGTCCGTACGTCGATTTCTGGTTATGTAGGGTGTTATCGGCTATTTGGGGCTTCTGTCAGGTTGCATGTAGGCTTCAGGCCGAGTGTTTTTGAACTTTGGGGTATCGGATCTGTGGGTAACTGGGCCATTAAGTCCTGCAATCCTGTATCGTATAAATGCTGTGTCCCTAAACGAGGCCAACCTTTGAGCCTTCAGTTCCTAAGGTCGCAGGCATGAATTGCTTCGGAGGTTTCGATCCGGGAACCCTTAAACCCCTGCACGATCCTAAAGTCCCCTAAACCCTAAACCCTAAGTCCCAAGAAGGTTAGCCCCACCCATCCGGATCATCCCGAACTACGTCCTGGCGCTGGCGAAGCTCGCAGAAAGCAATGAGCCTGGCACTCAACTGGTCGTCTGGACTTGGTTGCAGGGCTTCAGAGTGTGATGGTTATTGCAGTAGGAGCAATACACAGCTTAGAGTCAGCACCATCACCATCATTATCGTGATCGGCATCGTCACCATCACCAGCATCAGCATCCGCAGCAGCGCTGCATCATCATCATCATCATCATCATCATCATCAGAGGCATGACGAACATCAGCCTCATCAACATCACTGTCATAATTAGCATCGTCATGTTCCTCACCTCTGCAGTCTTGAGCACTTGTTTGCAGACTTTCTTGCTGCCATATCAGGCAGTTTTGTAGCATATTGTGTGGCTTCTGGCTGGATGCAGGTCGAGCAGGGCAAGTGTAAACCCCAGTGCGGGCTATGCGAGCTTCCAGCAGTTTGGGCTGTAGGGCTTTCGGTTTCTGAAATATTCATTAAAGTATGTCTTTGTAATGATTGTGTTTTGTTGGGATGTTGTGTCCGTATAGGAATCAGAAAAGGATACAGTCCGAAGACGCCCCAAACCATGATAGCACGCAAATAGCTTTTTTCCTGATTCACAACTGTCATACAACCTACTAAACCCGTACAAACTAAGAATCCTTATAACCTTGTGAAACCCATTTGAAAAACAAGAAAATCCTGTAAAACCTCGATCAGGCTCAACGGAATTGCTTCAGAGCCTGTGGTTGCAACCCTTATCGGACCCTGTAGAGGGACTTTTAAAGGGAGCGTGAACCCTAAAACCCTCATGTAGAAGCTTAAATGATTACCAATATTA